ACCATAACAAAGAGTGAAACTATAAACAAAGACGATCATGGTACACATGATCCAGAGCTCTTATCATCAACTTAGAGCTTTGGAAAAAATGGCTAATTAATTAACTTTTTCCCAAGTTCTTTATAGTTTCACCCTGTATACTGAAATGCTTTTGGTGACTAATGGTAAATATGATGTAGAAATAACAGAATTGGATAGGCAAAAACTGCAGTTCTTGATACATAAATCAGTGGTAATTCCATAAACCATCCAAACCACATATCCCTTCCCTTTGATCCTATCTTCTCCAAAAAATTCATTTAAACATCAAGGTGGTTGACCAAAATGATTGCAATGCAAACTTAATGCGCTCTATTTCAGTAAATGAGCAAAAAATAATACTTTATCAGGCAACATAGATAATGATTAATTTAATGGGAAAAAAAAAAAGAGAGAAGAAAATCTGCAACTTTTAAGTGTGGGTGACAGAAAAGAATATACATGTGTGTGTCCTAGGATACACAGCTTAATGTGTTTGGGCTAGGTGAAAGCAGGAAAAACTTAGCATGAGCAACTTCTGAGATTCTAATCTTTAAAGTCAACAACATGGTCAGGTGTTTGTGGTATTTCTAGTCCAGCACAGAATATCACATTAATTTTATCATCAACTAGATAGAAGTCTGCAAATTGAATATGACAAATATGATACCATAAAAAGACCCATGGCCAATATCTATTAAAAGGTAAGTGCATCTACGATCAATCCCCTTCCAACAATATTAGCAAATTACAAAAGGGAAATAATTTATATGTGACAGTGCACTGAAGAAAGCAATTAGGATATACATTCACAGTGCATACAAAGAATCTACTGCATGAGTTAAGTAGGACAGAACAGAGAGAGACAGACTAGAACAACAGAATAACATACCGTTCTGAAACATTCCCATCTGTTTTTTTCTTAGCCGAACTACTTTCAGACAAAAAGGAAGGCTGGGAACTCGTGAAATCATCAACCATGGGTAAAATGAATGAAGATAATAATGGATCAGGTGCTGCATTGGATGAGGAAACTATACAGGACGAACTGCCGAGAAGGGATTGTAGATTTCCATCTCGCAGTTCTTTCCTCAACAAAGAAAGGGTTGAATGAGGTCCACCTCTACGTGATTTCCTCTTGCGCTGCATGTAATTACTTGTCAAGGAACTCAACACAGGCAAGATCATCTTGGTTCACATGATTTTTGATACTGAAGCTCAAGTCAACAACAACGAAAAATTAAGTCTAGCTACAGACCAAAAGCATAAGAAAGTAATCTAAACATTCCCACAATAAAAGCAAACAAGTAGTTGAAATTGGTTTTGGAAGCAAACAAACACATAATCACCTAGGAAAAACAAATCATTTGAGCTAGTGATAACTCAATAGAAAAGGATATCTTGAATATATTTCCATGTTGTAGGGTTATATGTGCAACCATGTCAACACCCACCCTCATTGCACAAACTGGGCAAACCTGTAAATAAACAGCATCTACAGTGAGCAAAATTAACCTTCAATAAGATCTCAACATCGGAGCCCATAACAAATAATCTTGATTCAAAAAATGCACACTTAATATGATAGGGAATGACCTCTTTGTTTTATAAATCACGGCCAGTGTAATATGATTCATTACTGAATAGCACATAAAGACAATACTTCCTCAAAAATCACTTTGAAGAACTCCACGCATCAGTAACACTGAAGGAGGAAGATATTTGAGGCCAACTCAACTCTACAAAAACTTAAATATGCACATTTATGGTACTATTAGCAATCAGGCAAACCCAGTAGATAAAATTAACTTAGCTGGTTCAAGATGGACTAAGCTGGTACTCAACTGGTTGTCAGTGGTACAGGCACGACATTAGAACCATTTATTCTAGACAGTAGGATCTCAATTCTCATGTTTTGAGGTAATACACATGAAGTAGCATGCTACATGAGTGACTAGAGAAGAATTCTTATAGTCAAAATAAATGAAATTTTGAACTCTATGAACATATGCAATTCAGCTATTAACATATATAAAGAATGATAGTCCATACCCCATTCTTTGATTCAACAGGATGCTCATCATCAATGTGACAACACAGCCCGACAATATCAAAATATTCGGAACAGAATGGGCATGGAAACTCCTCCCTTATATCATCATCTCCATCAATTTCTTCAAACCCCATAAACATATCTGCATTTGCAAATATTATAACTATTATTTGAAGTTTAAGAGAAAATTTCCTTAGTTTATTACATTTAGAAACACTAAGCTTCCATTTGATAACAGTCAGATTCAACTCAATCTGTTAAGATTCATGATTCTCAAGCAGTCACCACTGATGTCGGCCAAGAGAGGCAATTCCCTTACTAACTCCCAAAAAGGATTACTAGTTACCTCAGAACGAGAATTTATTTTCCAAATCACTAAACCTCGACAACAACACTTGACCCTTTATACCCATTCACTCCATAAACAAAGAGAAACAATTTTCTTTTCTTTTTCTTTATCAAAAGAAGGAACCTTTGAGTTTCAACTTGCAAGTAACAACCATGTCAAGCTCAGTGAAGTAAGCGTAGTTTCCCTTTCAGGGGTTATAACAAAGCCATAATGAAGAACCTTAAGACCCCAAAACCCAAATTTCTCATCTTTCCTCATTTTCCCATCAAACAACCAAAACAAAACACTCTTCTTCAATAAAGAAAACAAAATTGGATTCCAAAACCTTGCAGTTTCATTCATATTTTCGCCAAACTTTAAACACTAACACTTTAAATGACCATAATATTTCACTTTCCAATCATTTCTCAAAAACCAAACAGACCATTATAAACAAGCAAAAGACAAAGAAACGACTTCGGTTTGGTGCAACCAAGCTCAATTTACTTAAAAATCCAAACCTCAAACATCAACGCTTTCAATTCCCATGATTTTTCAATCTCCTAATCATTTCTTAGCTACCAAAAAGACCAATAAACAGGCCAAAGAGAAAGAAATGACAGCTGGGTTTGATACAACTAAGCTCAATTTGCTAAAAAATCCAAAATTTATAACTTTGAGACAATTAAACTCCCATAATACTTAAATTTTCCATTCATTTTTTAAGCAACCAAAAAACCTCATAAATAACAAGAAATGATAATTTCCAAAACTCAAAAAAATAAATCTCACCAGATCGTGATTGAAGAGCTGATTGGTATCTCTTAGAAGCTGAAGAAAGACGACCACTCCAGGAATCAGCATCCATAGCTCCTCCCTTTAAAATTAATTTTCTTTAAAACTCCGAAATTCTCAACCGATCCTCGGTTGTTGGAAAAAAAAAAGTGGGTTTCCTAATCGAATTTTGAGGCTTTGATCTTGAATTTACGCAAATGAATACCCTTGAAATTAGGGGTTGAATCAGTGGAAATGATGATAATTGATAGGGAGGGTTTTTTTATTTGTTTTTTCTATAAAAGGAGTGAGAGAGAACACAAGGAGCTGTGTTTTGCTCGTCGAAAAAGAGGGAGTCTGGTGCTTGTTGTGCTGTTGCTTTTATAATAATTTGTTTTTTGTATTTTTGATGAATTTTATTAATTTTTTTGCTGTTAATTTTGCAAAAAAAAAAGACTTAATAAATAATCAATTTTTGGAAATAAAAAGCAAGAGCGTTACGGCTGTTTTACTAGCTGTTTTTTTTATTTGATTTTGACTTTTTTAAAACTTGTATCATGTTGGTGTATCAATTTTTATATAAAAATATTAAATTCTTTATTACATACAATATGTTTTAACTAATTCTGGTATATTAGTGCTTTGTAGCAATTTAATAATAATTTTTTTAATATAATTTTTTTTAAAAATATAAATAATATTTGAAAAAATTAGATCCAATAATATTGAATTTGATTATTATATCAGATCCAATAATTTTTAATATAAAAATAACACTCTCATGTTATGTAATTTATTATATAATAAGTTTATATTTATGGTATATGCATAATACTTTTAAAATGTAGCATAATATTAACAATATTTTTATTTTTTATAATTTTTCTTGAATTTAACTCTAAAATAATAATATATTAAACAAATACTCATTTTATTTTATTTTTACCTTGCAAGAATTTTTACCATGCATTTTTCTCTTTCCCTATAAAAATCTATAGTTGTATTCTTTTTTTTCTTCTTATTATTAAAAAATAATAAATTGAGTATTTATTATCATGGGAGAGAGAGTCAGTTTTCTTTTCTCTGCCACCTCTAATCTAGCATGACAAGTTGATTTAAAGATTCAATAAACTAAATTAAGATTTGAGTAATATTTTATTTCGAATTGTCTTGGATTGGATCATTGATTTGTTTTGATTAGGTTAATTGATTTATAAATTTATAATGAGGGTTTTTTCAATTTTTTTTAATATTAAACCCAATCAAATTATTATTTTATAAAATTTTCTAATAAATTTTAAAATTATTTAATACAACTAATTTTAAGCCAATTTTTACAAATATTTTAAATAATTTGATCAATTTGCTCATTGAACCAAGTTGTTTATTGTTTTAAAACCCATATTTATCTACTGAATTAACTCTTAGACTTAGATTAATTTAGAGTATAGAATGGTCAAAATTTAAAAATATATATAAAAAACATGATTAATCAAATAAAACAACTAAATTAATTTAATAATTTGATCGATCCAAATATTTTATTAAAATCATATTATTTTTTTATTTTTTATCAACTCAAGTTTATTTATACTGAATTTTAAAAGTATGAGTTTGTATGTTTTAAGTTTTAAAAATATTTTTGTAATTTTAAATTAATATTTTTTTAGTAATTTTATATTTTTTAATATTATAATATTAAAAATAATTTTTTTAAAAAAAATATTATTTTAATATATTTTTAAATTAAAAAAACTACTTCTACTGCCTAGCTGCTTTTATAAGCCGACACCCCTAAACTGATGTACCCCGTTAACAATCATTCAAGAACCCCACTCAACAGTTACGTAAACCAAAAAGAAAAAGGCGATCCCTCTACTTCAATTTTTTATTAATTAACCCCAACAGCTCCACTGTCTCCCCACACATTTCCAATTTCTCCGGTCACGTGACCTCCCGCCATCTTCTCCGATCTCGATCACGTGACCTCCATAAATTATCGATTCCTGAGAGAAAGAGAGTGACCCTTTTTTGATTTCTTGCTGATTTTGTTATGGCAACGAGGAATCGGACGTTGATATTTAGGAAGTACAGAGATGCATTAAAGAGCGTTAGGGTTCCAACGAGCTCATCCACGTCGACGAGCTCTGTCGGAGGAGTTGGTGGTGGTGGTGGTGGTCCGGTGATCGAATTGGCCAGCACTTCGCTTCTCAATCCTAATCGGAAATATGCTCCTCTTAGTACTGAAGATCCCGGTAATTCAAGGTACATATTCACATTCGTATCCGTATGCATATACATACGCGTATAAATATCTGCTTGGTGTTTTGGCTGTTAATTAATCATTTAGTTTGATTGATTTTAGCAATGTGATATGTAGAATTGAGAGTGTTAGCTAAAATGAGATACGAAATTAGAGGTTTTTGCAGTGTGATTTTGTGGAGATTTTTAGTGTGTTTTATTGTTAGTTAATGTCGAAAATGTGTGGAAAATAGATAATTGTTGATGGGTTTTTAAGTTTTGAAGTGAATGTTGGTGGATTTGTATGGAGGTGATGTGGAACATAGCTGCTTTGATGGAAAGTTTCGAAGGAGTTATTTTTGGTTGTATGTGTGTCTTGGGAATTGTGATCTGTTGGTAGCTGTTGGTGATGCATGATTATCTTCTTGTTAGATTGAAATGGGCGTTGAAAATGTTTGTCGATGATGGGAGAATCGGGTGTTTTTTTCTAAATGGTAGTGCAAGAAAATGGTAGAGGTTGAATCGAGCTGGTTTATATGGATTTGAGATCTCTTATTGCCTGCAATTCTCAAATATCGGATTGGTTTCTGTAGGTATTTTCAGTCAAAGGCTTTTATGGAATTGCTTGTGAGGAGTGAAATGGTTGTGTTGGAAGGTGTTTTGAAGATTGGGGATGGTTCTACTTTAAGCTAAACGATTTTTGAAATAATTTTTGATAGATGTGAATATTAACTTAAATACTATCTAGTTATTTCTTCTGAATTTTAAACATTGATTGTTTTTTAGTGTTGCTTTCTTAATGGTTGAGCATTTGCTGTGAATTTTAATGGTAGCCTGTTAGGAACATTAAGATTTGTTGTCTTGATGCAGTAAAGGTGCATTTACAGTAGGTTTACCTCCAGCTTGGGTGGATGTATCTGAAGAAATAGCAGCAAATGTGCAACGTGCACGTATGAAAATGGTTGAGTTAGCGAAGGCTCATGCCAAAGCTCTGATGCCTTCATTTGGTGATGGTAAAGAAGATCAACGGACAATTGAGGGTCTAACCCAAGAGATAACTGGTCTTATAAGGAAATCAGAGAAGAAACTGCAAAGACTTGCTGCAGCTGGGCCTTCTGAGGATTCAAATGTTAGAAAAAATGTGCAGGTAAGCCTTTATTTTCTTGCAAGAACCAGCTAAACACGTGGAACTGCTAATGATTTATTTCCACTTACATATGATTTTTTTGTTAGATAATGCTGCCTAAGCCCTACAAAAAGCAAATTTTAAATTACAATTATGGGGAAAGCAGCCCCAATAATGTCCTGATTATTTAAAGGAGAAATTCTAACTGATTAGATGGTTAATAGGCCTCTGGTGTTCCTATTCTTCCCCTCTTGCTTATCTAATTGAAAAATTAGAATATCTTCTTGTGAGTTTCTTCTGGCCCATGCACCTATAATTGTTGGATGAAATGATTGCTCTCTCCAATTAGTGGCTTGGTTATTCCATTGTTTTGCTCTATGGAGTTTTATATGCGGTTAAACATGAGAACTTACACATTCCTTACATGGTGAATTGGTCTTGTGAATTGTGCTTCTATTGGCATTTTTTTATTTGCAGCGTTCCCTTGCTACTGACCTCCAGAACCTTTCAATGGAACTTCGCAAGAAACAGTCAACATACTTGAAGCGCCTCAGGCAACAAAAAGAGGTCTGGGAAGGATTGCTTTTCGTATTGAATTACTGAATAAGCAAGGAATATATTAACATTTTCTTATAATCATTCTGTTATGGTTTCTTTTGGTATGCAGGGTCAGGACGGGGATGATTTAGAAATGAACCTAAATGGTGGTAGATCTATAATAGATGATGACAATTTGGACGACATGGTATGCTTGCCGTAACCTTCTCCGCCTTAGGTTTATTGTTAGATATGACAAGTCATGAAATTGTTTGGTCCTGCATAGCAAGTTGATAGACAAAACTTGCGTAAGAAATTTTGTGAGATATATGTTTTGTCAGAGCCCTCCACTAATCTGTTTGGTGGTTCAAGGTAAAAGCCTACTTGATATGGGCCTATACCAGTATCAATCAGGGCTATGTTTTTTATCTTTCCTTTTGGATTTGGGGTCTCTCCCTTCCAGTTACATAGAGGTGATATTTGGGTGTTGAAAGATTCAACAGATTATGAGAGAGTTTGTGCTTTGTATTTGCTTATGTAATATAGTAAAATGTCTTCTTTTTCTTCGCCTGTGAACATAAGCTTGGGTTGAACCACATTTTCTGTTTTCTTCATTCTTTTTGTTTGTTTCGTGCCCTGAAGGTATAGTCTAATTTGTTTTTTCCCGTCATTGTATCTATCAGTTATGTCCAGAAACATTATCTAAATAGTTTTGTAAGTTAAATTTCGTTTTTGTGGTCAAAATCCTTGCACTGTTTTTAATTACTGAGAATATCATGTATCAATGATATGTAAGGTATTTAGTGAGCATCAGATGGCCAAGCTGAAAAGGAGTGAGGCATTCACTGTAGAAAGGGAAAGAGAGATCGAACAGGCAAGCAAATGCTCTTGTCCTTTTGTTTTTTAATCAACAGAAATTTGGTAGTCTCCTTTATTTGTTAAGACTTTATGTTTTCCTATTGATCTTGGTAGGTAGTTGAATCAGTAAATGAGCTTGCTCAGATTATGAAGGACTTGTCAGTACTTGTGATAGACCAGGTTAAGAGCTGACCTTCTTTTTGAAATCTGCAGACTTCTTGTTCAGGTCACCGATCACTAACTGTTTATTTCCCTCCTAACAGGGCACTATTGTTGATAGAATAGACTACAACATTCAGAATGTAGCAACTACAGTTGAGGAGGGGCTTAAACAACTGCAGAAGGTGCCCTTCTTACCCTCAACAATCATTTCATTCTATTTTCAAAAGCCTCTCTCTTTCTCTCTCATTTTGCATGGCATTGTTTGTATTGAATGGATTTGGCACCGCAGGCTGAGAGAACACAGAAACGAGGGGGAATGGTAATGTGTGCCACTGTGCTTGTTATAATGTGCGCTGTCATGCTGATCCTTCTTATCCTCAAGACGATTCTCTTTTGATTGTGAGCATGGATATTCCTGAAGACTCTTTTTATTTGCGAGCACAAGTATTCCTGAAGTTCACTCATTCATAATGCTGCGACGCTCCCCGCCAAATGTTACACTCTTGTAGATGGCTATAACTTTGCCCAATTAAAGAATGCAAACGCTTTGAATTTCCTGAATACACGTACCATGTTAATCGATTACCTTCTTGCATTACTATTTTTTTTTTCAAAATTTTGTGGGGAAAGAGGGGAGAGAAATGTCCTCAAAGATGTATAGAATTGGCACTGTACGTTGTTCCTTTGTCACGGATCTGCTAGGTTGATTCTTTTGATTTTTTGGGAGGTTGGAGCATGGTGCTTTCAAAATCCAAGGCTCCCTGTTATGAGGAGCCTGAAACCTTTTTAATTGCTTGTATCCATTTTTGTTCATGTAATATCAAAAAATACGCATCCATCTCTCTCGTTTGCCATTAATTTCATGTTATCCCAGTTTTAACTACCTAGTACATGTATGATAATTCTACCATGCATGGAAGAAACTTCGAAGTGATGAGTTTTGTGTTTCACCATGCCTGCAAAGCTATGCTTGTTTCATATTCTTATCAGACTTAATCATCTGAATTATTATTATTATTATTATTTCTTGAGAACAAGAGCTAAATGCATGTATTTGGCTCATGGCTCCAATCTAGGCAGAAGTTATAACGTATGCCTTGTAACCGACAGAACAATTATTTGAACCGACAGAGTATGTATTTATGTAGAGAACAGTAGTTACAAACGCTACATCATAAATGTCATGGTGAACAAAAATCCCTTGACCAAACAGAGAGAGACAAAGTTTGGAATTTTCAACATGGAGAGTGATTTAGACATTCTCGCAGTCTGATCGAGGTATAACGTGAAATGGCATTTATAAACCTTCATTACAATATAATTTATTGTTTATCTCCCAGCAACGCGCTCTCGTAGCTCAGTTGGTTAGAGCACCCGTTTAGTAAGCGGGAGGTCTTGAGTTCGACTCTCAACGAGAGCAGCACATCCTTGCTTCTTTTGGTTTTTTCTTTTAATTGTCAGGCGGATGCGAAGACATCTTCAATTCACCTCGTTTGGTGCCATGCAGCACACAAACTTAATTTTTTATTTGTTTTTAAAGATACAATCATATGTTTTAAATAAAAAAATTAATTTTTTTATTTTTTCAAATAATTTTAATATATTAATATTAAAAATTTTACTATTTTAATAAATTTTTAAATAAAATATTTTAAAAAGCAACTATTACCATAATATCAAATACAATCTTAGAAGTGAAGCCATTGACTTACTTTATATTCCTTAATTGCATAGCTTGCATTATGATATATGATTGGGTAATTTATTTGTGGTTTATGATCAAGAATTATGAAAAATATTTAAAATTTTTTATAAATGATCCGTGTTCAAATGACTTACCCGCGGTCTTACGGATGCATGAGAAATATTCTAGAATTTCTTTTTTATTATTTCAAAAATCAAAAAATTCAAAATCCAAAAATATATTTGGAATATAAATAGATGAACTCTTGAGCTGCATCATGTCAAAACACTAGAAAAATAATCAAATTAAAATAATATTGATAAAATAGGTTGAAGAAAGACTTAATGAAAAGAAAATTAAGTTGGAAAGTTGTTTTGACTAAAATTAAAAGAATTAATTAAGTTTAAAAATTTAATTAAACTTCTAATAGGTTTAATTGACTTAAGAAAGAACTTAATTGAAGCAAAATTAATCTTTAAGCATTAAAGTCAATTTGATCAAAATTAAAAAAAATTAATTAAGTTCAAAGGCTTAACTAAACTTTTAATGGGTTTTTGTTGACTCAATCAAAGACTCGATTGAATGAACATTAAGTTTAGAGACCTGATTCAAATTAATTTACAATAATTAAAATGAAAAAAAAATGGTGTAATCAAGAATTTAATTGAAAGAAATTTGATGTTTGAAGGTCGACTAAATACTTAATTGAAAAAACTCAACTAAAATCAAGGCGTAAAAGGTGTATGCATTTAGGGACTAAAATTGATCAAACTAATGATCATGTTGAGACAAATTAAAAGTTTGATAATCAATAAAAATCAAATTATATAATACGAAAATCAAAGATTAATTTGCAAGAGGGAAGCGAATAGGGGTTTTCAATCAATGTTTCTAATAATGCAATTGCAAGAATTTAGAAGTTTTTTGGTTAATTGAGGATGTACATGATAAAATTAGAAATGCAGGGACTTAATTAAGAATAATCAAAATCTCAATTAAAAACTCTAATTTTAAAGATTTAGAAGACAACATGTTTCTCTTATTTTAATAAAAAAAAATATCATGTTGTTCCATAATTATTTATTTTTATTTTTCCAGCCTAAAAGGCTAAATAAAGAACCATATCTAGGTGAATAAATATGGCATCTTCTCTACATGATTCAAGTTCATCAAATTAAATGTCTATAATGAATTCATTAAAATACACCATCAAGTCATCCTTGAATAAAGAAGGAACATAATTAGGAAAATTATTGAGTGATTAGTACCATCTAATCTACTCTACGTATTTGTATAATTATATAAGCTTTCCTCACCACTTTATAGAAAATCATTGGGCATGAATATAATCTGAGGTGCGGAGATAATTAGCCAATTAGGAAGCCAAGAAGGAACGATCCATGAAAGACAAAATTAATATAAAGCCATTTTGAGGTTTCAAAAAAAGCACTCAGATCCCTTTCAAAAGGACCAGACCACAAAAACCTTGTTCTTCCAGTCTCGTGGTGTGAGAAACAGACGAGAAATTTATCCGCCATGAAAAGAAATAGGTTAAGAATGTAAGAAAATCAAATGAAAAGCCAAAATAATCTCTCTATCAAACAACAGAAAAATCATTCTTACACACTTAAAACATTAAAACAAATTATTCAAATATTCTTTCTTTCATCAATTAATCTTTTTTCAATGATTTCTTATTGAAAAAACAAAAGTATTAATATTAAATATATTAAAATATAAATAGATTATTAAATCGATTTTTTTTGGTGTTAATTTTTTGAAACAGTAACACTATTCTGAACTAGTTTTGTCCAGCGCAGCCTGAAGAGAAGCAACAGTAATCGAGGCCATTCCTTGTCTCTACATAATAAGAGCAACGGTATGGCAGATTTTCTTTTTCGAGTCCACCTTCGAGCAATAATAGCAACCAGATACTTTACCCGGACTAAGTCATGGATTAATACTGCAAGCAATTTATATAAAAAAAATTAGTATGTTTTTATAGTTAAAAATATTTCAAAGAAAATTAAAAAAAAAATATTTGTGTATACAATCAAATAAAAAAAAAAGAATCATAAATAATAACTAAATAAATCAAATATAAATAAAAATATTTAATTTCACAAAATATGATATTTATCTTGCTATGTTTGTTAAATTTATTTATTAAAATAACTAATTATTCAATTAAATAATAATAAAAATAAATATACATTAAATTAACTAAATGAAAGGAAAAAAATAATATACAAGGCTGTAAAAATATCATCTAAAATTAATTATTTTTATTTCAAAAATAGTTTTTTTCTATGTAAATGATATAAAACATTTATAAATGAGTTAAAAAAACTTCTTCAAAAATTAAATGTTTGCAAAATAACGAAAATAATTATGAACATTTAAAAAAAGCTTTTTAAATAAAATTTTGTAAATATATTAATCTAAATATAAATAAAAAAATAATTAAAAAAACATATTAAAAAATATTAATTTTTTTTTTAAAATATGATATTTCATTAGAGCCAGCGTATCCAGACCCCAAATATTTTGGAGGAAGGGAAGTCAGGAGAAGCGCCGTCTGTAGTGCCCAGTTTTTGAAAGCATTTCCTCAACGTGCGTAATGAATTACAAACACCACCGGGCACAGAACTTGCTGAAAATCCAGACCTTGAGATTGAATTCTATGATATCGATTGTGGTGCATAAAAATATAAACATAACTTTCTTGACACACTGGCAAATAAATAGTCCATAGAATGAGTGATCTCAAAGGCTACAGAAAATCTCATACCTACTTCGTCAATACTCGATGCATTTTGCAAAAGTTATAATTGAAATGTGAAAACATCGTTCAAAATCATGCACTAATAAACAAAAACAGTAATTATAGCATTAAAAAAACATAGCTAAGGCCAAAATTATTGGAAAAATCATTAACTTCAGGCAGCAGCTTGGGATGCTGCAAGCCTTTTTCTAGCCTCCTCGATGATAGACAACTTAATACCCTTGCCCTTGGGAAGAGAAATCCATGGCTTGGTGCCCTTTCCAATGGTGAATACATTGCCCAAGCGAGTGGCAAACTCATGGCCAGTGGCATCTTGAACATGGATTGTCTCAAAAGTTCCCTTGTGCTTCTCCCGGTTCTTGATTACTCCAACTCGGCCTCTGTTCCTTCCCCCAGTGACCATGACAACATTTCCCACATCAAACTTGATGAAATCAACTATTTTGTTGTTCTCTAGGTCCAGCTTGATGGTGTCATTGGCCTTAATGAGGGGATCTGGGTAGCGGATGGTGCGCCCATCATAAGTGTTCAGGTAAGGGATTCCTTTCTGTCCAAACTGAACAGACCGAACTTTGCAGAGCTTAAACTGCGTAAGCATTAAAAAAACAAATGGAATCATTAACTGGTGGTTCCACTCTACAATATGAACTTACAAAAATACAATTCATTGATTTATCAAATTAGTGCACGGTCCAAAAAAACAAAAACATCACAAATCAAAACGACAAAACCACATCATAGCCAAAACTATACAAACCTTGGCCTCATCCTCTCTGAGGGAGTGGAGCCTGAAGCGGCCTTTGGTATCATAGAGGAGACGAAAGCTCTCATTTGTCTTTGGGATTGACACAACATCTGTAGCAGAAAGCAAAACAAAGTGAGCAACCCAAATGAAGACTAGAATATGTAGGGAAAAAATGAAAAAGATATGATCATATAACCAAAAAAGGGGCGAAACTCTAAAAGTTTATCACACATAATAACCACTTCCAATCTAGCATGACAGAAAGCTGGCAGCAAAAGCACCCATAACCTTTCACATAATGATCACTTAAAACAAGCATTAATTTCTGACAGATATGAGCACTTATAACCTCTCACACATGATCACTTTCCAACAGCTATTTTACTGAATTGCATCCCTCGATTTCTTAATCATGTCATGCCCACCAAAAGATGTGAAAAATTAAATTACTGCAAGTTCATCCATTACTTTCAGCTAGAGATAATAATGATAAAAACTTCTCCTTACCCATCTAGAACCAATCCCAAAGCATTGAAAACTGTGAAAAATTAAATTACCGCAAGTTCATCCATTACTCTCAGCTAGTGATGATAATGATAAAAACTTCTCCTTACCCATCTAGAACCAATCCCAAAGCATTGAAAACTGCAAAATCCTACACCTATCTAGAATATCCACATAAGAGAAAAAATCACTGTAAAGACAGAATTGCACATACCCATGAAACCAGATGGGTAAGTTTTATCTGTCCTGACCTTGCCATCAACAAGGACATGTCTCTGCATCAAAATAGCAAGCACTTCACGGCCTGTGAGAGCATACTTCAGCCTGTTACGCAGAATAAGAATCAGAGGCAAGCATTCCCTAGACTTGTGGGGTCCAGATGATGGCTTGGGTGCCTACACAACACAATAAAACATTTTACACCCAAAATAGAGATTGTTAACATACAAGGAATTAATTGATATTGCAGTAAAGGGGGTCAGAGATTGTTAACATACAAATGCACCACCAAGTTTGTCAAGCATCCAATGTTTAGGGGCATTAAGCCTCTTCAAATGCTTCTTCAACCCTCTAGCCTGTAATGCATCATAAAAGCAGATAGATCAATTAAACCAGAGTAAGTAAAAAACATCTTGATGACATTACTCAATCATACCCAGGTTAAAACAACAACCAGACACACGAAAGGAAAACGAATCAAAAGGCATAAAGGTGTAAAAGCGTTTCACTTCAAAATCCAACCTAGTGAGAATCATTCACAAGGTGTTACAGAAAACTTGTTTCTTTCCAATTTTCACTTTATTCAACAAAACAAAGTAACGGATACTTCCCACAAATTCAACAATATCAAAACCAACAAGTCCCATGTTTTCTTTAAAGAAATCAACTACACAAACACCAGCAAGCATCACTGAGACAAGCTGCAAGCCAGTGAGCTCCCGAATCCAAAAACAAAACCAAAAAGCACATAACTCAAACGTTAGGAGCATAAACAAGAGAGAAAAAAATAAGCTAACCATTTTGGAAACGTAAAGGTTCCTAAGTAACTCTGCGGAGCTGTTCCTCTCTAGAGTCTCCTCCCCTGTAGCAGCTTCTAAAGTCCTTACAGGTTGAGAGAGATACAAGCTATGTATCACGGCTGTTTTTATATATTGGAACCCTAATTTAACTGAGTCTGGGTCAATTTATTGGGCCAAGGATTTTTAGGACTTTTGTTTGGGCCCAGTTATCTGTCCATTAAGCCATGTTTGTTGTTTTATTTTTATTTTAACAAAGACCAAGAGTGTCTTGCATATTCATAAGAAGCTAGCGGAGGCTCGACCAGCCCAAGAAATTAGTCGAGGGCTGTACGGATTGACCTGCAGATTATGGGGTTAATTTAAGTTACAATTATTTAAAAAATAAAAATACTATTTTTTTATATAAAAAAACCATGAAGTAATGTAAAAAAAAACTTGAAATAATATTATTTAAATAAAACTCAAACCATGTTATAAATTATTAAATTAACAGTTAAATTAAAATTTTTTTTATTAATATGAATATACGGATTAGTTTTTATATATTTTGACTAATTTTATAAATTTTAAAGTTGAGTATCATATAAATTTTTAATAATTTTAAAATTTATAAAATTTAAATTGATAATTTTTTAAAAATAATTAAGATATATTCTTTAAAATTGAATTATACCAATTTTTACTAATATATTATCTGAGTCAGCTTAAAATTAAATATTTTTCTTAACAAGTTTTAAAAAATAATAATAGTAAATTCTTTCATCCCATTAATAATAGCCTTAGAGACAAAGGCCCGCCCATAACTATTTTATTTAGAGCCCATGAAAAAGCGAACACTCTCTCTCGCATCATCTTCTATGCCAAAAAGACACCACCTTCACCATTAACAACACTTTTCGGTGCCTTGTTACAAGCAAAAGATCCCTCATTTTGATGGGGTTTGGAGTTAAAGTTCGGGGATTTTTGTTGGGGTTTGAGAGATTAGAAGAGGAAAGTGCAATAAGGAAGGCAATGGGGTTCGGATTTGAAGTGGTGGGTTAGCAAGAATTGAGAAATATTGATGAAAATGAAGGTGGGTTAATGAAAGGAGAAGGCTTGAGGTTTTCTTGAAGATATTGTAGTGTTTTTGGTGCATTTGAATGTGAAAGGAGAACAGTTTCCCTCATAATGCTAGGTGATTTAGCAGAGTATTTCCATTTTGGCATTCTCTAGTTTCCATGCTTTGTTACTTTTTGCAGCTTTCTGAAGATACAGTAGTTAGCTTTACTATATATTGGTTGGATGGTTACCATGGAATCTCTTTATTTTTGCATTTTAAAAGTAATTTTAATTTTTTTTCTTCACATCAATATTTTTAGATTATTTATTAAAAATAATTTTAAAAAATATAAAAATGTTATTTTAATATAAAAATACTTTAAAAAACAATTATAACAACACTCCTCAATAGATTTGCTGCTGCTAAACAGGTGTATGGTTGACTCAATAACTTAGCGGCTCCCATGATTTTCTAGTGATTCAGATTTTGCGTTGCTTTTTCAGCTGATACCCATGATTTTGTAAGACTGATAAGGTGCTATGCTCGTCTACCAATTAAGGCTGATAAGGTGAAGTAGTGTGGTCATAGCAACCAGGTCCTGTACTTATCATTGTTTTTGCTTGATTTCCATTACTTTGTTATTCAACATTTTCTGAGAAATTCTGTGTTTTCTTTATGCAGCTGAGGAAGAAGGAGCCCCTCGGGTTCCATAACTGATGACTTCTAATGAATGACGCTTTGGATGTTGTCACCCTACCATCTTAATCACTGTTAAATAACCTCTAGGACAGCTTGTTATCGTCGGAACCTTGTTTATCATGATGTTTTGTCTTAGGCATCTGGTTTAGCTTTAGCATGTTAAATGCTACTTAATTACTCTAATTACTTAAGACATCTGGTTTTCCTTATTACAAGACAACTAAAACACAAGGCAAAAACAGAGTAGCTTCCTTATCAATTTTGTGGTTACTTTTTTGTTCTTCTCTGTAAAAATTATCATAAAATAAATAATGTTATCTTAATAAATATCTATCATATCTAATTTTTTATATTATTTTTTAACCACATTTCAATGCCGAAACATTATTTTTTGTATGAAAAATTAATTTGGCCGCGATTATAACATTCATTTTCAATTAATAAGAAATTTGATAACAAATGTAATGGGAATTTTCCTCATAAAATGTCTGGCTTAAAATTTAGGTTTTAGGGTAAGCATTAAGCCAAACTAAAAAAATCATTTTTCATTTCTTCCTCGTCACATTTTCTCCAACAAAGAACAATTTTCACATAAAGAATATAACCCAAAAACAATTATTTTGATAAAAACTTCCCCAGATCAAGAAAACAAGCGTAGGACATGTAACCACTACAAGCAACATGCGAGATCATAAATATAAACACGGTCGCTCTCCTTCACCCTCGTAGGCAAGCAAATCAGGGATTGTGGACAGCAGCGGTGACAAGCCCGTAGGTTTTGACTTGCTCCCTCCCCGCACCGCAATTTTTTGTACATTAGCAGGGGCACATGCCGTCTTGCTTTTCAACGAAAACTGGTTATTCCAGAACCGAGTGATTTATGCAGATTTATTCGTATACCACAAGTCCTATATTTGTCATTTTTTGCTTCCCTATAGCTGCTGTAGTGTAGAGAGACAAGAAGTTAAATCTAAATTTGCAAGTAGCAAGGAGGTCACCAATCAAGATACTAACAAAACTCTTCGGAGTTACTGGGATAAAAGCGCCTAGAACTATATGCAAGAAGGTGTCTTGATGGGAAGAAATTGATAAGAAAGTTGGAACAAAGATGGTGAACGGTGAAATCAAAATAATAAATCAATACTGATACCAGTTCAACATTTCCCTTCAATATAAGAGTTTTTGACACAAGCCAGTACATTGTATATATCCTAGAAAACAGCTAGGAGACTCCTATCTTTGCAACCGACTCTTACAATGTGAAGGAAACATCATTCCAATATTCCTTGAAACTACAAGCATGGCAATATAAAGATTTTCTGAGCGCCAAAAATTAACACCATGAAAAGGGAAGCAGAGATGCTACCATGACGACTAGGACAATAGAAATATTAAAAAAAAAAAGACAGGGAGAGAGAGAGAGACTCCATGTCCTTTTTATAAGACCCCAATCTCCTGGGATAACTACTCCCTTTAAAATGAACTCAGGTTTCCCAAAATATTCTAGACATTGAAACCCAAGTTCAATCATGCCACCAATCACATTCACTTCTCTTCCCGCAACGTATTACTCTGGCCATAATGAAACCCAAGCCAGTCCGACACCCTCCGACCACTACCCAAAACCAGAGATAGACCAAACATGACACCAAGACACCTGACCTGAACCTGACGACCATCTCACCACACTCCTCGAGGACTTCAATGGAGCCTGCAGCTAAAACTCCTGCAATCAATAATACATCATTGAGTGCTGGAAAAATATTTTTCAGTTTTCGGGACCTTGGGTAGCAAAACTTAGATGCCCATTGGCCCACCATGCTGATCACCAAAAATTAGCCTGGGATTACCAGAATATGAAGCATCACACGATTAATATATACCTTTAGCTGAAGTTGAATCCGCCAGACGGAACAGCAGGAGCCTCACCCCCAAATTGGAACCCAGATTGGGAAGCATCTCCTGGTGGCATTGTTTCATCCTCTTCCAACCAATATGTCTCAAGAATCTTCACTGCCTTCTCATATATCTCAGTGTTGTCATGCGACTGTAGATTCTCAATTTTCTCCAATCCTTCAGCATCATCAATCATCTGAGCATAGAGATTTACACCTCCAGTTTCACTCACATTCTTGTCAGCTTCTCCTACCTTTAAGATGTTTTCAAGGCCTTCTAAACAGACTGTTACAATCCTTGGATCTGGGCAAATGAGAAGGTCACACAAGGGCTTGATGCAACCCTGGCTGACAAGGTACCTGTAAACCAAGCGTGCACCCAGTTGAGCAGGCTGATTGATTCACTCCTCAACTTGCAAAACATATTTTCCAAACTAATAAGATTACTGCTTCTTACTTGATTTGTTCATGGGCACCACCAGATGTAGCATTTGAAATTGCCCATGCTGCCTCTTTCTTGATGTCAAACTCAGCACTTTGAAGTAGATTAACAAGTGGACCAATAATATTAGCTTCAATAACAGCCTGCAAAATTTCGTGAACAAGATATAAAGAAAATCAATTCATCGTTCAGACTGAATTGATGCAATTTCATAAATAAATGCAACCAGCAAGTATTTCTGAGTTACCTGGATCTGCTCCTTGTTACCAGCTGTTATATTAGAGATAGTCCAACAAGCTTCCTTCTTGATACTCTTTTTATAATTGTTGGCCAACAAGTTCAAAAGGCAAGGCAGCGCTTGATGATTGATGATGCACTACATGGTAGCAGAACATGTCAACATGTGAGATAAACAAACCTCTTCTTACAATGAAAGTGTCCACGTGTGCATCCTTAATGATTTTCCCAACAACAGAAAATAAAAAGACAAACTCCTACTGCCTTCTCTGGCAGTTATATTATGCAAATAAACATATGCCCTTTTTCCTGGTCATGGATGCCCTCGTTAGCTTTCTCCTGAAAATGCCTTTTCGTATCTGCTCCTATTCCCTTCAATATATAATAAGCCTACTAATGTACAATTTTTATACAAGGTACTTTGAACTCAAAATTCCTCCCCATTATTAAGATAAATGATGCTGCTGCCAACATGGGTAACCCAGTAAAAAAATTTAAACAGCCTATTTCAAACACTTTGAAACTATTTAAAAAACTTGACTGCATTGATTATAGCGAATATGAAAAATAGTTAATAATTCACAGTAATGTAGAACGTATAGCTGTTTAAGCAGTTGCTAAAAGTAGAGGGCCTCTTGGCCAAGGCCACTGATTCATTATAACCTTAGGTTCCACTTCCATCCAATACAGGGATGAAGTGGGCTAAATGCTACACCTATTATACTGAACACTTACTATACCTGTATGGGATATCATCAAGGTTCTAACAGGAATCCTAAAATGGAGACAGTACCTCCATTAAAAGAATTTTCTAGGATTGTGGGATAACAACATGGTGTAGCTTTTTTGCACACGAGAAACATATGGCTACAAGCGACAAATACCTGTGTCTGCATATCATCTCCAGTGACGATATTTCCCACAGTGCGAAGAGCAGGAATCAGAACTGAAGGAGATGGGTGCCTGAAACATGATACAAAAGTTCAGGATTTGGGTGCCTAACAAACAAAATAGAAAGTACAGGTCCCACAATCTAATACTCACAGCAGAAGCTCAACTAGCCGTGGACATACTCCTGCTTCGATAACAGCTTGAATTTTGTCGTTTGTACCATCAGAGAGATACGAGAGTGCCCAACATGCATCAGTTAAGACTTCTTCATCGTCAGAATGAATAAGGCGTGCAAGAGCTGGAAGTGCTGGCTTAACCTGTTAAATGAGACAAAAAGTCAAGACCCGTGGCCTAAGAACCAGCACATAAAACATTACAAACAACATAGATTCAAGTCAGCAATGATAACTGAAATCCCTCATAACTATATACTTAAAAAGGATAAATGGCATGACCATTATCAAGAGAAAACAAATAAAGTGTGGAGCATTGATCTTTTCACATTCAGTCAAAACACAAATAAAAACAATCTAATAAATAACCAAACCTGATCAAAAGGAGGTTGTGGCTTGCCTCGACAAAAGTTTGAGAGTGTCCATGTAGCATTTCTGAGCATCGAAAGTTTGGCATTCTCATTTAATTGTGCCAGTAAAGGAAGCAAAGCTCCATGGCCAAGGACAAGATCACGGCATCTAGGAGAATCTCCAGCAACATTTCCCAATGCCCACACAGCCTGCACATTCAAACATATAAGGGAGGAGTTTGGTCACAATTATCTAGCAGGATAGCTGCTGACTGCAACTAATTAATAAAAAACAAATTCATTCACACTGAACAAAAACATTAAGACCTAAACCAAGACAAAATTTAAATAAACAAAAGAAAATGAAACTAGTTAACACTGGTCATGATCAATTTTCATACCTGCTCACGAACATCGTCACTTGGAGAAGCAAGAAGCTGTACAAATATAGGAACAGCCCCATGATCAATCACCACCTTGGTGTTCTCAGATGTTCCAGAAGCAATGTTTGTGAGAGCCCAAGCTGCTTCAAACTACAGTAATTTTCACCTGATTAGATTCTCCAGCATATTCAACAACAACAAAAAGAAACAACTAGTCAAAGGCATCTACAATACCTGTAATTGAGGGAAGTCCTCCCTCATAAGAAACTGAACAAATCGAGGAACAACACCAGCTTGTATAACTTCCTCAATAGGAGGGCTGCGCTCTGGCAACAGAAATTGACAACAGAGACATGTTATGCAAATAGCATTAATGCTATTATAAAAGACATTCCAAGAAGCAGTTTCTCACCAATTGAAAGTAATTTCCTGAACTGAGTAGTTGCCTCCAATTGCAGATTACCATCTTCAGTCCAAATACCCGCAACCATAGATGGCAGATGTTCCAACTGCCATCAACCAAGTCCAACTTAAAGAATAAATCAAAACTCGAACATCTTTTAAGATCACCAAAAGTGAAACAAACAAGTATCCAAATTTCACCTAAATTTCAAGTATCCACCATCTAAACCTCCAAAAAGCTAATGAACTAATACACCTGGAAATAGCCAAACTAGCATCCCCCAATTATTGGTTCAGACAATTCAACAGAATACAAATTATGACATGCATCACCCATTTAATCAAGCAATCAAAGACCAATATCCAGTGGTTTAATCAATTCCAACAAGAGATCCTGGCAAACTGGCACCCAACACCAATGCGATGGCATTAGTTGCACTCTACACGATTGAGACAAATATTCCTATTGCATAGCTCAACCTAGCAAACAGACCTTACAGTGAAACCAATACAAGCACCATAACCCTTGAATGAATAAAACTTAAGCCCTTCAGATAATCTAATACACCCAGTTCCGATAAAAATTCATCAAAGCTCCAAACCAACTGAAACCTTAATCTTCTAAACCTAATTCTAACTAAGCCCAACAAAACTAACACGCTATAACGCTCGGAAAAAATAAGACCACCAATCACACCAAAATATTAACCAAATTCACTCAAACTTAACCATCTCAACAGCAGCAGATCATTAAATTTAACCACAAAGCCACCATTCAAAACCAAATTCAACAAAAAACCTAATTTCAACTGAAACCCTACACACACAAACACTCAAAACAAATTACAATAAAAAATAGTCGAAAATGAAGACGAAAACCCATAAAATCACGAAACTAACCTTCTTCTCAGCAGCAGAAGAGTGGATACTAGCAGGCATGGCTTGAGCCTGAAGTCCTTCACGTCTCTTCTTTTGAAGACTCTCTTCTCTCCGATTCTTACGGATCTCCACCATGTTATCCTCCCTCCTCCGCCTTCCCTCCTCCGCATCCACCGCCACCTTGTACCTGTTCCGGCGGACCTCGGTCCTTGCACTCGGCCTCAACGACATCGTTTCGGATTAAAGGATTAGCTAATAAGATGATTATTTTGGATTAGCGAGTTGGTTGAAGGATTAAGCAATTAATCGAACAATTAATTGAGGATTTTGTTTGATTTTTTGAAAGTTGAGTAGAGAGAGGGGGGCGTAGCGGAGAGGTTTGGGTTATATATGTAGGGTTTGATAAGAAAATGGGTTTTGATCGTAATTTTATTACGAAATGTGCCATTGACTGGGTTAATTTGAATTTTGAAGAAAACAGTTGACCTTTTTGAGGTCGAACGACGCCGTTTATTGATGGAGGGAAGCTAGCCTGCTCGCTGCATGCCAATCTGCAGGAGGACAAAAATCACAGAATGCCAGAGAATATGTTAAGCGAACATTGATCCAACTAACATGATTGATAAAATTAAGGTTTTAATGATTTGGTTGGCTAGCCAAACCAAATCAAAATTAGGTGGAGTCAACAACACGAAGAAAAACGCTATCATTTTTAATAAAAATAACTGATTTAAATTATTTATTGATTGAATAATCCAATCTATTTTTAATTCAACGCTAACAATTGTGTAATATCTGCTGTTGGTTTATGTATTTTAAAAATATTTTAAAAAAAATTAAAATTTTTATTTTTTAAATTAATATTTTTTTAATGTATTCAAATTATTTTAATTTAATGTATTAATGTTAAAAATAAATTTTAATATATATATATATATATTATTTTAATATATTTTAAAAACAAAAACACTTAAAAAATTAAGAAAGAGACAAAATTGAAATCTTTAATGAGAAAAGATTACTCCCTTCCTCGAATAGCCTTGGGTAGGGGACAGGGACACCATCACTTTTACTGTGTGTCCGTGGAATGTCGTTCACTTTGTTGGAGATTGCAAGGCAACTAATTGATTGATTTGTGATTTACCTTCGAAAAATAAAATACATGGGATTAATTTACCTCTCTTTGATATAAAATTACGGGATATTGTTTGATGTTAAACACACTGTTTGCATTGTAAATTTTAATTTTTTAAAACACAAAAAGTAAATATAAAAACAATTAAACTATAGGATAATCTTGTAATTTTCTAAGAAAACATATACCTTAAATTAATCATGAACCATGTTCATGCTGCCTCAAGCAATTTAATTTAAGAATTAAGAAAATGTATTCTCTTTCTGTGTTTATATAAATTACTATATAGACACAGATAACTCCCTCTAGCCACGTAAAAAATAATTATTATTTCAATTGTATTGTAAAGGTAATTGCTATCACGTGAGCTTCTCGCGTGCCTATAAAAATATAATAGGAATGATAATTTTTTATTTAATTTAATTTTTATTTTAAAAAATAACTAAATAAAAAAATAAAAAGAAATGAAAATTAAACTGAAATCAATTCAAATCAATTCGTTCCAGTTCATTTTGATTTAAAAAAATGATTGGAATCGGTATGATTCGGTTTTTTTTATATAGCTTGGTTTTGGCTTAGTTTTTTCTCAATTTCTTAGTTTTGTTTGGTTTTTTTACTTAACTTAGTTTTTTGATTTTTTTGGTTTGGGTTCGATTTGATTTTTTCAGTTTCAAGTTTATAAAATTAAAATCAAATCGATTAGTTTTTTTTCAAAATTTTAGTTGATTTAATTATTTTTGTACACATTTTGATTTTTTAATTTTCTCAACTGAATAAAATTTTTATTTTTTCTACCTTTCTCTATAAACAAAATATCAATTCCAAGAAGAGGAGATGGTTGTTTGATTGATGAAGAGCTTTTTCAATAATTAATGCTTTAAAGTTAGAGGCAGTTCATTTCATGCACGCTTCATTTGTTTCTTGGACTGGATTTCCCAGACACCTCAAGGGGAGATGCCGAGAGAGAGCTTGAAAGAAAAGCTGAGAGAATAGTGAGCTTCAGTGTAGCTTTACGGACAGTTTACTGTGTATGTGTATTGCTATAATCAAATTACTCTTTTATCTCTTGGTTGGAAAAAAAAACTTAATCTTGAAGCTGTAGATTTCCCAGTCTTTTCCACTTACCCGCTGCTCATCAAAAAATTATTTGGGTATATATGTATTTTTTTATACAGTAAAAATATTCATTTATTCAAGAGTCAATGATATTTATAATTATTAACTAGGGTTTTCTTAACTTTTCATACACTTCTTAACAGTAAATATATTTATTTGCCTTTGAGATTAAAGATGTATTGATATAACAGTTCGACTCAGCTTTTTATATATTATTTATTTTAGATTTTATTATTTTTATGATTTTATTTTTAATGATATAAATTTATTTTTAAACCTTACATCTCAAAACAATTATAACAAATTAGTAATTAGTACTTTCAATAAAACTCACCATTATTCTATCATTTACAGACATAAAATGTCACAGTTAAGCTATTGTGTAGGGGTGTTTACAGTTTTTTCATGATAATGTATAATAAAAGTACATTTTTAACTTTGAAAAAGATAAAAGTTAAGCTTTGTCTTTTAAAGCATTTTGGTATTTTCACAGGGATTTTTATTATGTAATTAACAAGTTTGGGGGTATGTTTTGGTATTTTTGATATATTTTTTAATTGTTTTATTCAGATATATGTGACGCAAACTAGGCCTTGATCTAGCAGTGGAAGGGGCTTGTCTCCTTTCACTGCACCTGGGTTCGAGCCCTAGCGTGCACGTCTGTCCCCTTTGCGGTGCCTTATATACCTACTGGGTTTGCAGGATATTCAGTGGGCCGTGGGGATTAGTCGTTGTGCGCGCAAGTTGGCCCGAACATCCCACTTAAATCAAAAAAAAATGTCATCTAATGAATGCTGTTCATGTAATTTAATTTAGGTTGTCACATATGACTCCACCTAGTAGCTAAGTCTGAGAAACTGTTATTTTATTGGATGCGCAACCATCTATTCTTACCCATAGTGTTACATGTGTAGGTGTGCTGTAGTTAGATTGCCATCTATGGTCGGTTTTTTTTTTTTGTTTTTTTCACTTCAAAAAATCAAAGATAAAATACCTCATTGTCTTCGCTGTTTATTTTTTAATTTTGTTCTTCGTTGTTTTCAACCAGGTCAAATTCAAGATCCTATCGTTAAACACGTCAGAATCAATAATTATGATTTGTAAAGTATTTTTTAATTAAAAATATACTAAAATAATATTTTTTAATGCAGACAATCAAGTACGAGCTCTGGGCTAAGTACGAGCCCTGGGCGGCCTGTCTCGGCAGAAATCAGCCTCAGTTTTTCTATTCCTCTTCCTGTGCATCGGACCCTGAAACGTGAGATATGTGTGAATTTACCTTGAGAAATTAAGGTTTATTTGCTATAACATGGCTCCATATGATTTTATAGGAGATGGAAAAACGCAGTTTTTTATGATTTTACTTGACATTACTATTTAATGCTGATGTGATGGGATTTAGATCATTTTTTCATATTAATAATCTAAATCCCATCACATTTTAGGATTTTATTTTTTATAAAAAAACATGTTATTATATATCGTTTGACTATGGTTATAGAAATACTTGAATATAATTATCTGGTATTTAGTGGTATTGAAAAAAACAAGTGTTAAAAACAATAAAAAAAAGACTTGAATTAATTAGCTACGGAGCCCATGATTATACAATAATATTCTTGTAGAAATATGACAGTAAATTGTCTCTTCTTGTTTTATTTTTTATTTTCGTTAGCTGTAATTTGTTTTATTTATCAAGTTTCTCAAAGCATACATCACCTTGAAAATAAATTAAAAAAATCAATCAGATTAATTTTATTTTTTTAAAATCCAACCCTAGCAGTTCAACCGGGTCCTAATAGACCAAATAGGCCAGGAAAGTTTTAATGTGTGATTGATATTATATTACTGTGTCTTCTAAATTGCAATTTGAAAGATAACTTGATGCTCGTAGAAGAATAACCTTTAAACGTTCATAAACTCATGGTTGCAACTTGCAACTATGCATGCGTCACAGTTCACCCCAAGATGCTACTGGTTCATAGCTGCTGGTGACTGGTTGGTCGTCATTGAAACTGTGCATGGCGAAAGTAAATTCTTACAATAAATGTTTTTGTACCGGAAAGCAGTTGGCTCTAATGGTTCAAGACGCAGCTTTTCAGGGACTGACAAAACTGAAGCTGGTCTGATCGTCTGGGTCAGCCCACCCTTCTAAAAAAAATTGAACCAGGTTGCTTTTGAAGGGAGTGAAGGCATGGTACCTCTTCGGCCATGGAAACAAGGACGGGCCGTATTTTTGGAGTTCATTGTAATAAACATTATTAAAAACAGCAAAGAAGAATATGTTGAAGTGTCATCGAGTGATTATCCCTAATCCCCATAGCAACACACAAAACAACGTGCAAAATTTAAGCTAAAGCTTTCCTATTTGCTGCGACCCCTTTGAATTCTTTAACAGCAATCTTCTCTACTATGATTCCTCATGCACAACAGACACCGAGATAAGACAAGCACTATAAAGAAGGGGTGTCGAAAGCTAGAAAATGAAAAGCAAGCCAAGACAAACATACCATGTACTGTAAGTTGCAAAAGTAAAGCAATAACAGCTACAGTCATGCCATGCAATACTTTATCAAATACCAGAGACGTCGACCACCAGCACCAATGGAGGCGGCATGGACCTGATGAAGGCTTTTGCATCGCACCATGAAATGATCACAACAGACCTCGGCAATTTCAATGCCCTTTAGCTTTTTAGTGTAGCAGATCTAGAATAAGCTTTATCCTTGGGTATAAAATATATATAAAAAAGGTAGCCCACCTTCCCTATATCCAGTGCATAACCGAGATGATAGGAGAACAGGTTGGCATCAGAAGCAATGAATCAAAAAAGATTATTTCTTTGGATTGCAGTCATGCACCATGAATTTATATAAGAAATTGGCAGAAGCACCTATCACACGAAAAGTAACTGGCTAGATGGAACTATACAAGGCTCGAATCACCCTAGTGCATGAAACATGTCTAAGATAATGTTTTACAAAACTATATAGTACAAGTGATATGCATAACAAATGTCAAATTTGTTCTCCCATGCCGGCCCATGCCTCATCTCCTATTTGAAGGACCTTAAAAAATGGCTTTGGATGCCCATGTAGTCTCATGTTTGCCAAAGACAAATGTTACC